ATGGAGTGATAAGAAGTAATATGATTTGGGATGAGTTAAAGTTCCTACATTGGTGTTAAAACTGTGTGTGGGACCAGCAGGTGAGAGGTGAGGAATAAACAAGGGCATTATGGTACAGGGATGTTTAAAATGAGTTTGTGCAGTACAAATGGCAGTCCTTGGGTTTTATTTTGTTTCCTGCGATCTGGGTGTTGGGTGGTCTATTCTGGGACTGGATTTAGAATTTTCAGTTTAGATTCTTGCAAATAGGCAATGGACAGATAAATCAATTTGACTTTATTGAATGGGATAAAGTATTTTCTGCAATAAGAAAAGTATAATGTGTCGCATTGGAATAATAGAACTCAAATATTTCAAGGGAGGAAAAATATTTTGAAAAGCACTAGTAGTAGTATGAGTAGTGTGGTAAATAATTAGCATTTTGATTTCTTGTATCAAATCTTATTCTTAATTTCCATATACTATTAATTTTCTTCCATTAAGAGTAAGATTTTTAAAAAACATGTAGTTTTTAATCAATACTTTAAAAAAGTGTGATAGGTTACAAAATTCACCTTTTCAAATTTAGATTTTGGAAGTATAGAATTTACAGTTAATTTTAGATTAATGGAATATTTACTTGGTAATTAAAAAATAATTTATTAGTATTATATTGCTTCACCACAGATGCAAAGAATTTTGGGCGAAATTGAAATGTTTTTCCAATTTATATCTATTTTATTATATTTAATATTTGTTTCCTCTAAATCATTAGCAAAGAAACATTTTAGAGCCATGAATAGTATTGTTTTATGCTAGTTTGATAAGATATGATTTACAGTTCATGGCTGTTTGACTACTTGCAAAGTCTATCTATATTATTTAAACACTAATTGATGCCACAGTAAAGTGTGCTATGTTTTCAGGAAATAACGGTGCCATGACTGAACAACTCACAAGCTGAACACAACTTCTGCTTGGAAGAATATATATTTTGGACAGTGCTTGCACTATTCCAGTGGGAATTGTTTCATAATCCTTTTATCCTATATAATTCTTTAATGTTAGTTAACTTACTGAACCAATTATTTACAAATTGTTCTAATCTCTTTGCAACCAATTAGAAAACTGTTGTTCTCGTAATCCAGCATGGAAGTACTGACCAAATATAACTGACCTAAATTATTTGTGTTTTCCATGTTTGTGGTCATTATAGTAGTCGGTGAGCCCCAAATCAGTTCATAATGATAGTTCTTTTCTGTTTAGTTTTTTTATTAGTGTATATTTGTGATACATGATAATTATATTCATCTTGGGAAATCGGTACATATACACATTACGTCTGAATTCATTTGTTCTCTCCTTTCCTGTCCTCCTATCTCCTCTCCACCCCCAGGTCCCCTTCCCATCTTCAGATTTTCAATTACATGAAAAGAAGAGCAAAATTTTAGGTTTCCAGTTGATAGTGAACAAAGTGATAGTGAACAAAGTCTTTTCACTTCCTTCCTTCTCTTCTTTTTTTGTCTTGTCTTTTTTCTTTTCTTTTCTTTCTTTTCTTTTCTTTCTTTTTTGAGACAGGATCTCCCTGTGTATTTCAGGCTGACCTTGAACTCACTATGTAGCCCAGGCTGGCCTGGAACTCATGCTGATACCTCAGCCTCCTAAGTGCTGGGATTACAGGCGTGCTCCACCCCACAGTGTCATTTTATTTCTTGTACTGTAAACTAGTGTTCTTTTCATGGTCTACTCAGTGATACATTTTTCACATTTTTGTGCCTTTTTAATTGGTGGTTTCACTGTTTAAATTGGCTCTAAAGGTACTGTCTTGTGCTTCTCAGCTCAAGAATGCTCTACTGTGGCTCATGGAGAAAATACATTTGCTAGGTAAGCATTCAGGCATAGTGTGCAGTGTTGTTGGTTTCAATATTAGCGAATCAATAGTATATAAGAAGTATTTAAACAAAATGCATGTGAAATGCAGTTAGGCAGTGATGGGTTGAAGAAAATGTGCTCAGAGAATCACAGGGGCCTAAGAAAAACTGAAAGAATCTAAGTCTGTATTTCTTCCAGGAACAATATTCACTCTTTACTAATTCAATGTGTGCAGTGACTTTAAAACATGTAAGTATCGGGAATGATGAGAATTGACTGTGTTTACAGTTCTCATCTGGTAGCTATGGTACTGTGAGGTACAAGACACAAAACTAGCATGTTTTGTTTTCATATATGTTTTCATACATGAAGCAGAAGTGAAAATGTGAATATATTCTTATTTTGGAGGAGAAAATTCCTAAATGATGTATCATGCTGTGTAAAGTGGATTAAAAAGAATTACACTATCCAACAGAACTAAACTTTTGTAATATCTTAGATTGTTAACTTAGCAAAAATTGTGAGAAATAGAAAGTTCCAAAAGGTATAAACCTCTTACAATGTTTAAACAAAAAGATAAAGGTTTTGCAGCAGCCTGCATAAAGTAATCCTCTCTTGAATCCTGGAAAATACATATTTTTGAATACAAATAAATAACAATTGTATGTTTACTGAAAAAAAATCCATAGCACATATTGTTACACAAATAAAGCTAGACAAATTAAGAATGGTAACTAAAATAAATAAGTAATGAGACATAGAATTACCTTGGGATTAGGGACTAAATCTAGGGTGTTGGAAAAGCAGATTAAAATGCTATACTTAGAGAAATCTGAAAGGGTAAATCTAGCTTTCTCTATAAATCACCTATTAACCTAAAACAAAGAGATTTTAATTTCCAATTCAAATTGAAATTAAAAACCTTGTTCAAATATACTCTGGTAGCATGTTGCTGTTTACCCAAACTTTGGGCTATACCAAAATTAATATACTTGGTTTACGTGATCTGAAATAGCATGAAATAGGTACTATAAGTAATAGATTTGAAATTCTTCATATAATTAGGTAATGAGTTAATAATTATAGTGAATATAATCCAGGAAAGTTTTACACATCACAGACTTTATTTTTCTAGGTGCTTGCTTGTAATCAATTGGTGGTTTTTGTTTTTATACTGTTACTTAGGGAAAATAACTCTATTCACTTAAGGAATACATGTAGTATCAAAATTTGACTATGATAGACTCTGCCTCAGAGTCCAATAGAAAAAACAGATACATAAACCATTCTTAAAATCACATATTATTTACTAATGAAACCTGAAAACAACCCTGTGAAATACATATTATTTTTGCTTCTCATTTTTACAGAAGACATTGATGTTTATTCATCCACTTAAATAAAAACCTTACCGTATAAGGAACTCAAGTATCACTTTTAAGTTTAACATTTACAAGAACACAGTGATTTTAATTGAAATCAGAACTGCACCTTCATGGTGTACAAATAACTTTATGAATGATTTTTCCTTGGGCTATTTTGATTAATAAAATGAATAATACACTTTTCTAAACGTTAACCAAGCCATGGTTGAATATGTAGAACGTGTTATTAAAATATTTTAAGGAGATTTTTAACACCTCAAGGAAACATGACTAAATTGATTTTGAAGGAATAACATTGATGGGGATCATTATTTAATGTATAATTTACTTTTGTTGATCTATGAATGACACGTCAAGAATAGTAACTAAATCATTACAAATATACTCTGATGCCATGGTAAGTTCACAATCATTGAATTTACCATTACTTCTTTGTTTACTGTTTGTTACAGCACTCTCCTTTCTCAACTTTTGGATGGAAATCATCCTCATCATCCTTAACTCGAAGACTTCACTTAGAAAAGTGTTTCCTTCTTTACCTAATAGCTAATGCATTTTGAATGCTTGGTGTGGCCGAATACTGTTCTAGGGGCTGCCTGGGTGTAGTCCTTTAAATCCTCACAATGCCCTACTCCAGTAGAAGGACCACTGTTTCATACATCTTACACAGCCTGACATGTTGATCCTCAGTTCTTATAGTTTAAGAAATCAAAAGAAAAACAAATACACTCTAAAGTATGTACATAGAATTTATTCAATTAAAACTTAATTACCTTCCTTATATGTAGTTCATAGTTAAGGTAGAGTAAGCATATTAGTTTTTGAGAAATCTGGATTCTGACCTATCTGAATATTTGCTGTCTTAATTTATGTTTCTCTTCATCTCTGGCACTTAGTTTTTGCATCTATGATAACACAAACAAGGGAAATGTCCATCTCTAAAATTATATTCATGATGATTAAAGTATAACAATTCATTATAATTTTCAAATTAAAATACCATATTATAGAATCTTTCAATAGTTAACAGAAAATGATGTTATAAAATTTTCAGTGAATTTATATTTTAGCTCTTTTTATATAGGACATGGAGTGAGGGCTCAGACTTTTACGTTTTACTGAATATAAAGTCAGTTTCCATCCCTTTATAGTCTCTCTTCTAGGAAAAAATGATGGAAACCTGTAGAGCAATTTTTAGGTAAATTCTATTACTAACTTAAATGTTTCTGCCTTTAATATATTTTTGTCATCCTAATGAGGAACTTAGTAATTTTCATTGAATAAAAATTGGTTTCACTTCAAAGTGTTATTTCTGATTTTAATATCAGAATATTAGTTAACTATCCCAAACAGCAGATACTTCCCATGACCAACACAGTTGAGTAGCATGCAAAGAAAATGATAAATAAAACATTTGTTTGAAATCTTCATAATGTTCTTTATCTCATTTTTTCTAGGATCAAACAACTAAAATAATATTAAACTGAGCACCCCAGTTAATTGTTGTAAGGAAGAATTTTTGGAAATAACGTCAAACCCAATTTGAGGATTAATTGTTGAACATTATGTCTCCTTTCCTGAGTGCAGAGAGCTGACTGCATTCGTTTCCAGTTTCCTCTGCTTGGGGATACAGTGTCTTTGATGGTGGTAAAAGAAAAGAACTCGTGTATTCTTCTATCAAAACTGTAAACCAATGATGATTGGTTGACATTGACATCCTTTAATTAATTTTTCTGCTTTAATTGATAAATAGCATAATTATTCTATAATTATTGATAAATAGAATAATTGATAAATAGAATAATTATTTCTGGGCCATTTCTTAGACCTGAGAGTCCATGTAGGGTCTCTGTCATCATTTGGAAGTATTTTTAGACTGTGGTAGAGGATCTATGAACCTATGAACAGTGTTCAGAAAAGCGAATGCAATGCACACTTTTGGGGGCAAGTACCTTACTGTGACATGCCCTTGTGTCCTTTAACAGTCTGATTATTAGGCTGTCTGATAGAAGTAGCCCAAGAAGTTCTCCCCGACAGGATGTATCTTGCCCACTATTGGTACTCTAAGTTCCTCTTGTATTCACTGTGCCTTCTATGTAAGTTTGGGGATGAGGGGTGTTTTGCTGGCCTCTACTATCCTGATGATCTTCACAAAGTGTGAGGTGCAGCGTATGGTGAAGCCCATGGGTGACTATTGGAAAAGAAATAAAATAGGGTTACATCATAAAAGGCAAGAGAACTGTGAGACCTCAGGGTCTCCGTCGCCTTGATAGATCTGCAGTACCAGATTTACAGGGCTAAAAGTGCTGGTCCAGAATTCAGCCCAGGAGCTTTATTTGATTACCTGAGTAGTAAGGCTTTCACCAGAGTCCTGAAACCTAATGTCTTGGTAGGATCTATGATCTATCTATCTGTATTTTTTTGGTTTGGTTTTTAATTTCACCACGCTGAGGATGGTATAAATGTGTTCAAAGTAAGGGTGCAGTATTTTGAGGAGGATTAGTGTCTTACTCTAATAAACTTTTAAAAGTTAAACTCATACTGTACTTTTTAATCACACATCATATAGCAGGTAAGAAACAAATTATTTCCCCATTCAATTAATCATGGATATTTATCATGGTTTATAGGGCAAACTGTAAAATTAAGAGGGATTTTAAACTTTGCATGTAGTTGAGTTATCATTAGTATGCATTTATATTCTGGATACCTATTTGATGTCCTTGTCTCTTACTAGAATGTGAGGTTCTGAGGATAGAGACCTTAGTATGTTACTCACTGTAGGATCGTTAACATTTTTCACATTGCCAAGGAGATCTCAGTTTTTTGACGAAACAACTGAGGGTCTGGAAACTTCTCATCATGTCTCGACCTCATGGGTTGCGTCCGCAAAGGCAGGGATTCCATGTTTGTCAGAGCAATAGATGGAAATCCATCTGTTACAGGCAATCAAATGTATAATCACAAAATTAATTTTTATGTAGTAAATCAGGAAATAAAGTATGATCTTTCAGTGGGAGAAAGTGAAGGTGGAATGGAGAACAATATTAAATAAACACCTACCTCCTGTACTACAACTTTGCTAAATTATATCATGACGTAGCAATGGCATTGTCCATGTGCAGTAGCTATAGTGTCACTTGCCTAAGCCCTGTGACTAGAGAATCTCAACACCAAAAAGAGACCACAGGCACAGCTTCCCTAACAAAATACTGTGGACAGAGGCTAATAGAAGAAAATTACAGATACTTCATTAAAAATGTTTCATACCTGGAAAATGAGTTATAGGTGCCTCTCATTTTACACTCTGAATCCTGAGTAAAATTGAATTTCTTAGTCTGATTGATATTTAAATGATGCAATAGTAAGACTTCCTATCTTGAAGTCCTAATACTGATTGTGATGCTATTAAGAGACATTGGGAGTTCATCTCATCCTGAGGGTGGAGCTTGAATGACTGGGGTTAATGACTTTAGAAAAGAAGCCACTGAGAGTTGCCCTGCTTCCAGCAAAGCCAGGACAAGGACACAGTGTCAAGTCACCTACAAATGTAGATACTTTTTCCACTGAATCTTTTTCAATTTTGATCGGGGCTTCCCAAGCTACAAAACTGAGAAATTCATGTTTGTTGTCTATACATCACCAAATTTCTGGTGCTTTTGCAAGTCAAAAAGAATAAGACAATTGATTTCAGCCTTAAATGCATGATTCTCTAGTTTTAGGGTCAATATCAGCTACCTGCTAATTGGTACACAAATTTCCAAGTGTAGGAGTAAAATATACTGCTTAGAGTCACTGTGAATTGTAAGGCAAAGTATAATATCACACTTGCTTTATATGATTTTAATTTTGGAATTTACCTTGAGTTTCCTCAGCAGGCTTTACCTAAGAAAAATTAATGTGTACATTATACCTTTCTTTAAATATACTGCCATGTAGGTCTCTTAAATTCTACCAGAATTTCTTTGCTAGTATAAATGAGACTTGCGGTGACACAGTGATAGGGTCTATACCCTATTTTAACCTTCATGATTTAGAAAAATATTGATAAAAACTTATGACCGATTGTACTTGATATTAGAAGCAAAATGTGACAAAAACAGACTTTTTTACTTTTTAAAGTAAAATTTCCACGTTTAGGTAAACAAAAAATCAGATAATTAAAAAAACTTTCTAACTATCCTGAGTAAATAGAAAATGGAAATGCACTAAGACATTTCAACTCTGGGCTAGAATCCTAGCATTTAATGTTACTTGACTCTTAACAGCTGCTTCTTAATAATAGGAATTCCTGCAGGTTATTTTATATATCTAAACTGAAACTCTACTCTGAAACATTAGAAAAATGAATCTTATCTCATTGTAAAAAGCCCAGGAAATGAATGTAACTTGCTCAGTCCTGTATCTCACTGGAAAGAGAACTCAAAGGTAAATTCGTTGGTGCCCTCTATTCTGTTTATTCCTGTTTTACAGCATGAAGAACACCTTTATAGAGAGAAGTAACCTGTAACCAGTATTTAATACTGCTGTGTTAAAATTAGAATTTATATACACAATTTAACACGCAAAGGAAAACTATTGATTATTCCAGTGATGGGCTACTTACTAGTATGAATACTTCAAAATTGTATCTAGCTCAGTCTTCATGTTTAGCATTCTGATTTCCATGATCTCACTTTAGAAGTTTGATCTTCATAAATATGTGTTGTTTAAGAATACTTTGACTTACTCTTAAATTCTTATGCTTTGCTTATTCCACTAATTTCATAGTAATTCTCCCTATTTTTAACTGTTACAAATGTCCCATCTCAATGCATAATTTTACACATATTACATAATTTTACACATATTACTTCTTAGAAGGTTAAATTGGATTGCTATTATGAATAAAATAAGTACTGGACTTCTCAGAACTACCCTTAGTTACTTCTTCCAGTATCCTTTTTTAAGTCAGTTCTGTTCTCAATAAGTCGTTCTCTTTCCTATTTTAATACATAATTATTGCCTCCAGGTTTTACTTTTTGCTCCTTCCTATCGAAAATTTGTCTACTATTGGCACATACTTTGTACTTCACATTATATAAAATGTTTCTATCAATGTGATATTTCATTTCTTTTTGTTACTGTCAAATTCATCTTACATTCTGCTTTCCAAACTCTTCTCTACAGTCCAAATCTCTTTGTACTCTTTTATTCATTCAAAAACCATTGATGAATTTCTGTTTCCTGATAAGACCCTGGTCTCCTTTCATGTAGTTTTAAAGCCCTTCACCCTCATCCTTCAAACTGCCTCTGCCCATTATTCTCACTCCACCAAGCCTTGCAGATGCTCCAGTGACAATATTTGTGGTTATTCTCTAAGTGCATCTTACGATTTCCCATGCTCGCTCCTTGGCCTGCAGTCTGTGTCTGCTGACATGTCCAGCGGTGCCTTTCTCTGTCCATCCTTTCCTCATGTCCTGTTCTTCACGGGTGCCTTTCTCTGTCCATCCTTTCCTCATGTCCTGTTCTTCACGGTGCCAAGAAGAAATGTGATCGCCTGTATGAAAGTTTCCCTACTAAGGACAGACATTACGGCTTGCGTCCCTCTGCTGTAGGCCACTTTAGCTTGTAATCATTTCTTGTAACATGACCACATCACATTCATGTACAGTTACTCCTCACTTAGGGACCCACCTGTTTAACGATGTTCAGACTTCCAACTGAGACATGCTGCTCTGACTTACGCCCCACCACTGGTACTTGTGACCTATCTTTATATTATACAGTTCTGTACATTTTGTTTGTAGAGCCTTAATGTCTTTTTTTGGTACAGTAATCTTGTTTATACAGTATTGAAATTTTTGTTGATTGTACGATACAACGCAATATTGTAGTTTTATGTTCTGTTATACATTCCAGTAGAGCATGTGAGAGTTATGCACATAAAATTGACGTCACCAAGTTGCAGTTTCCTTTGACCCTTTCTTTATTCTGAATATTGTCATGTACATGCTATATACAGTTCCTCATTTAGTGACCAATTCGATTAATGACTGTTTCAGGAACAGAACGTGGTCATTAAACTAGGAATGTCTGTATATGTTATTGTCGCTTTGTCGATTTTTAATTCTCTTGAGAATAAATATTATATTTCTCAGTATTTAAATATATCTACATTATTCTGTATATGATCAGTTTATAAATGTGTAAAAATTTAGTGAAAAAATATGACAATGTTGTTTTTACTCCATAACCATTTGAACTATGAAATGGAAACATGGCTACATAGCTAAATGGCTATATTTTGAAGACTTTACTGTGACTCACTTTTAGTTCACACTCATCTTCCTGCTTTTTAGATGTCTCATGTCATTCTATTCTCTTTTCCAGAGGGCATAAAAGACAGCTCCATGGAGCTTTGATAATTAACTTGAAACTTGTGTGGTAACCGTGAAATTCATAGAGCTATAAGGATGGGTGATGAACTATAGCATTGTAGTCATCATCCACATTCTCCATAATCTTCCTCTACCCAGGCCCACCGAGAATGGGTGTATTTTACTTTTCCTTCCAGATAAACAAACCACACTTGATAGAAAGGAGAACTTAGCCCTTTGATGCAGTTGAAGCTCTTTTCTATTACTTTTTTCTTTTTTTGATACAGGGAATTGAACTCAGGACCTTGCACTTGCCAGGCAGGTGCAACACCACTGAGCTACATCCCTGGCTCCATCTTTTCTATTACTTTAAAGGAATGAGAATTACTTATACATCTTTCACAGCTCACAGTTTCTTAAGCATTATTTATGAAAGCCATATGATAGTGCAGTCATGCCAAGATGATTCTTGGTAACACAGCTCTCTTAGCTACCTGAAAATATTTTTCTGCCTCACTTCTCTCCAGAAATGCAAAATGTGCTTGCCTGCAATGGGTAAAATATGTAGCATATACATGGTTTGTGTGCTAGGCTTGCATTGGTGGTACAGCTGAAAGCTTATCAAAATAAAAAGTGCAAGGCCACCGTTCGAGTTGCTGATTCGGGGACAGAATACTCTATGCTTGTAAAGTTGTCCCCTAATAAGCCACACTCAGACAGTTAAAAAATCAGTGTGTAGTACATTCCCTCTGCAGATGTATGAGTGAGGTTGTTTATTGGTGAATTATCTGAGAAACTTACCAAACTTAGCTAAACAAAAGACCAAATGCTTACTTGCTTATAAACTCTATCCTATTTAGTTCTTCATGTCTTCTGTTTGCCATTATTCAAAAACTAAAATCAGCTATGAAATCAAACAGCATCAAAATTCAGATCATATGATAAATGTAGCAGGGTCCTGCTCACAAGCCATTCACAATATAGGGAGAGAAGCAAACAAATTAACAGGAAACAAACCTATTATAGTAGAATATGCTCTCTAGAATAGATTAAAACTCATTGAGCAAGAAATATAAAAATTCTTAGGAGGTGGACAACATATATAATTATGGTGTTTACTATGGTTTTTGTGAGACCTAAATAACTCCATTTTAAAATTTGACTCCATCTTAGAATAAGGCAACAAAGTGGCCTTGACATAAATTCCACTTCCCTGAAGTCAACTATTCCCCAAGTCTCCTTTGTGCCCATAAAGTAATGATAAAATGTCCTTGCTCTGGGACAACAGATAAAAAAAGGACACAGCTCCTAACTCAATCCTCTGTCTGCCCAGAAAACAGACGCTCCCGGGCCCATTATCTATGTGCTGACCATGAACATTCTGTCAATGAGCTGATTGTTCCTTTTTTATAAAATCTACATGTAGCCGCCCCTCACCCCCCCCCGTACACCCCATACTTGCTAAATATCAACTAATCATGTAAGTGCTAAATAGAAAATCCCCAAACCTTGCTGTAAGCCACAGTAAAAACCCTACTGATTTAAAATTCGGGGCTCTCAATCCTGATCCTCTGCGCCGGTGACGGTTGTGAGTCCCTGCTCGAGCTTAAATAAACGACCCTCGTGTGTTTGCATCGGAATCGGCTCCTTGGTGGTCTTTAGAGACTTCGCGATCTGGGCACAACAGTTTGAAGTGCTATTTATACATTAACTCATTTCATCTCCACTATACTCCTGGGATAGCTATTATCATCTGTGGCCATTAGGGTAGAGTTTCAACCTAACCGCCATTGGTCTAAGCTCAGGGATTGGTGGAGTCCATTTGTACGTGTGTCTAGATGGAACATGGAGGCCTGGCCTTGAGGTCTGTGTGTGGTCCATCCTCCCTTCTGTCCTGGCACCCTTTCTCCCGAGCTGCTTCCTGAGGCCCGTGAACTGAGCAGCTTGTTTCTGTCCAGTCCTTCCCCCATGATGTCTCTGTTCTGGAATCAGCTGATCGTAGATGGAAAACCTGAGCCAATTAAGCATTTACTCCATCAAATTGTGGGTGCCAGTTACTGTGTCTAGCAATGGGAAAACTGACCAAATCGTCCCCATCCTATATAGGAGGAAGCTGATTTTCTTGACCCAGATCACAGCTGTTGAATAGTGGAGCAAGAACTCATATCTAGGCTCTTTTGATTCAGAACTTGATTCAGTGAAAATAATTCATGCAGGAGGCAGCATTTGAGCAGGGAGCAAAAGGGAGGGAAAAGAAGGATGGAAAGTCCAGAGTTGTGAAAGCCTGTGAAGTTTGTTGGCATAGAAGTCTGCAAAAGTCAGGCTGAAGGTGTTGATATGAAATGCAGTAATAATCTGTTGTTTTCTTCTTTCTTCCTCCTGCTTTGGATTGCTTTTCTCTCCAGCAACTTTCATGCATTCATGAATCCTGAAGTTGCTCTGTTATTCTGGGCAGGATATAAATTACTGATGTGGATTTTCATCATGATACCTTTGGAATACTTCTGTGACCTTTACAGGTCACAAAGAACGATTTCAGAAATACTGACAATTGTTAGGAAAATCACATCATATTAGAACAGCTTAATAATGTATATATATGGACAGTTCAGTGTTAATCAAAGAGGACATGCTAGATCAGAGAGGTAGGGTGTAGTATTAGAATCATTATCTGTTTGTACAGTTTATTAACTTGCCAAGCCAAAATGAGAGTGTGCTTATTAAGTTTGAGATGGTAGGAAGCTGGATATGTTGATAGGTTTTTGGACATCCTTTGATTAGATTTTAAATTAATTTTAATAAATCAAATATTCAGTTTTATATCAGAAGGTAGGAGAAATTCAGAGTGTACTTTGGATAAAAATAAATAAAAGGGTGGAAGATGGCTGGCCGAGAGTACTATTTTAAAAAGAAATCTAGGATTCAAAAGCCAGCTAAAGGCTATTAGTGCTTCGTTTATATGGACTGAGCTGAAGTCTAGATCTGTGTTTGTAACAAAGAGCATCATAATTTGATTTACATATGGATGGCTTATGAAAAGCATTTGTAATATATCCAGGTTGATCTTCTATCACCAAGTACATTTCTTGGAACAAAGCTGTAAATAACTTCATACTTTCCATTTGTACCAATCAGAATTACTTCTTAAAAAGTTAGATATTAGGTGGAAATAATTTTTTGTAATCAATTATAGTATTACGCCAAAGAGAATTTTGGAGGGAGACAGGTAACTTCATTGCTAAGGAGATTTTAACTTTTAGTGTGAACTTTGTACTGCTTGCTTTGCTAGAATTAGATTGGCAAGTGATTCATGTGATATTTCCAGCAGTGAAATCTGCCAAGTATCCTACCCAGTGTGGTTACTTAAATAGTTAAATCCTCTGCAATCAGAGAACTCCCACTGAACTAGTGATTATCTATGTGAAATATTCTAATGTACTGAGCAACTGTGTAAAGATCATGGGGATTGATTGTTCATTTTACTAACTTCTTAAAGGGATTGAGTGGGAAAATTACACAGTACACTATTTATTGTACAAAAATCTGCTTTTTGATAAAAGCAGAATGTCCTAGAAGAATGTGGAATTTAGAAATGTAATTTTCATCACTTGTTGGAACAGATTTTCTTATTGGGAAAAACATCTTTGAAATGAGAAGATGAATTTAATTCTCTAAACAAATTTTAATTTTACAGGCTTTTAAAAAGAAGTTAGAAACTTTGATCATTAGGTCTCTTTATAAATCAATTCTAAAAATGAATAAAAAGATGCAATAATTACCATGAATATAATACTCAAAGACTTAACAGTTACAGTATGTTTTCCAGATTGTAATGTTACTTTGCTTAGACTTGCATATTGCTTTTACAATAAAGATTTAAAATTCTTAGTCAATAAATATTATTTTTGTGGAAACATGGGTTGTTTACTTGAGACAATTTTGAAATTTACAGTGTAATGCATACTCATTAAAAAATGAACTTTGGAACTTTGCTGATACCTAAAGTATTATTTACAATAGAAACACTTTTGTATATGTGTGTAAATGTGTGTTTGGATCAATATATGTGCGTAAACTGAAAATATCAATTAAATCTAATACAATGGATTTCTGCATCAACTTGCTTAAGCATTGGATTAATATGGGAAATTACTATTTCTGTTAAGATTCTCGATTTTCTATGCTTTTCTATAAGTGAAGTTGGGAAAATACTTTTGATAAAGATTTTCAATACTACAAACTTGATGACTTGGTAATCTCTACAGGTGTAAATACAAGTTGCAGTGTCTATTCATTCCGCCAGGAATTTAATTTCCCTGAGCACCTATGTTGCATGAGGGAAGAGGGAATGTGGGGCAGGGTGGATTCAAGTTGAATGCTACTTAGACCTTTCCTTGGAAATATTTTTTTCTTACTTCTGGTCATGGGACATATTAACAATTAAGTGAAGGCAGTATCTTCAAGAAAGTGAATTTTCAACATAATTCCCTTACTCTATTTTTCCACTTCCCAAATTTTGACCAATCCGTATAAGAAGCTCAGCGATAAGAAGCAAATCTTTAATAAAATACCACAGTTTATACTGTATGAGTTTCATTTTCTTCAAAGAAATATAGGTGGACGAGGACAAGATAGTTTTATCATCCAACATTCTCTGATAGGTCTTCAGTCTGTAGATCTATAGAGAATTAATTATTTTTATAGTTTATAGAGCTCTAGTACACTTAGTGTATTTTACATTGTAAATAAAGATATTTATTATGAGGAATTGGCTTATACAGTTCTGGGAGAAGTCCCACAGTCTACCTTCTGCCAGCTGGAGAAACAACAAATTGAAAGTGTAATTCTAGTTTGAAGCCAAAGGTTGAAAACCAGGGGAGGCAACAGCAAAAATCCCAGTCCAGTTAGGAGAAGGCTGAGCAGAAATGAAAAGGGACCAGTTCCTCTCTCCTCCATCTTTATTCTGTTAGTTTCTCAGCAGACAAGAGGGCAGTATAATGGCCATACATGCTGGGGCAGACACTCCACTTTACCGAGTCTGCCAGTTCAAGTGCTAATCTTATTAACAACAAAATCATCAAGCAAGGGTTGTTATTATCCTGATTATTACGTGAGGAAACTGAGGCCCAGGGAACTTCAGTAACTTGCCCAAAGACGCATGACAATAGAAGCTAGTGGTCTAGCTCAGACAGACTAGCTGCAGTCTCTGGAATCTTATATACTCAGTTGTGCTCTGGATAACGCTTTCCACTGGCTAAAATTACAAGGCCACGTTTTGTGCAATGCAAATGTTCTCCAATACTGATGAATTACCAGGTGCATTCTCATTTTCTTACAGTATCCTCATGTTCTTTGTAAATGTGTATCGTTTTTCTGTACCACTTTAAGCCCATGTCTTCTTTGATTTCCACAAAGGGAGAGACCCTCCTCTGGCAGAGGTTTTTATAAATGTTGAAGGAGGGGTATAAACTTAGCAAAGCCAAGCACTTCGGATAAGAATGGGGGCGTTCAGGGTGCTATGGGGGTAGACAAAGCCAAACACTTGGACTGTAACCTAAACATTCTCATTCTCAGAATAATTGTTTAGCTCTTTGACTCCACAATGATGTCCAGCCCGCGTCTCTTCACAGATTTCAGCTTTGTGGTAATGTCTTGTTTTTCTCTCTCAAGTCCTTTCTTCTTGGCAGCCAAATGGTGCTTCTTGTCTCAAGCAAGGCAGTTTGTTTGCACCCTTTCCTTCTGATCTTCCTTCAGAACAAGTGTTTATCTCAGTCCACCTAACTAGTATATTTTCTCTGGCAAACACTTTGCCTCCTTCAAGGACTTTGGGAACAGTGGCGAGGATGATGCACTTTGAAATTCCTTTTTCTTTTTTTACCATTTATTGGATGCTCATTATTTATGAGGCACTATGTCTCATAAGATTACTTCGGATGACTTTGCCATTTGGTAGGCTTTTATCATCCCCATTTTAGAGCCGAGGAAACTAAGTTTCAAGAAAAGTGACTCACTTATCTGAGGTGCCATGGCCATTAAGTGCAAGAGTGCACGCACCAGCTCCGATTCCAAAGTTCCAGTGCTTTCCAAGGGTATAATCTCATTTAGGTCAGGAACATCCCTCAATGCATCATTTAAACACAGTATTGTAGGCCTAGATACCTTGCGTGCATGTAAGTTCTATTTCTTTCAGAGGAAATCAGGTTCTGTAAAAATGGAGTGAATGGTCACCCTGCCTACTCTAATATTACAATAGTACCAGTTTTTAAAATTATAGAAGTGTGACAGAAAAAAAAGTTGTTTTGTTTTCTGTTGCGCTTAGAAATACAAAAGTAAATAGACACATAGGAGCTAGCTGAGTTTCAGAATCATCTTTCTGAATTTCAAAACATGGGTGGGATTAATTTTACCATCATTTTATCAAGAAATAAATAGTATTTGAGGTATATTCTGTAGATATACTGGTAAATATTTATTTCTGACAGCCACATGTGAATCACAACTATGGTTGGTGATCAACAAAGCCCAAATATAGCTTCTAATGTAATGAATTTTTAAAATCCTGACTTTATACATGAAGTCAAATGTAAGCTTTCCTTAGAAAATTAGGAAATTAAGGTTATAACATTCGCCACACATAGATAATTATTCTCCGGATATTCAATACAGTCTGCGTCCTGGTGACACAAGTAATTCCGAGCCCTTTATGAAAGATTGGTTCTGAAAATAAAGAAGGCACCAGTGTTGTTTGTAAAATGGAACTTTTGAACCTTAGGCTTCTGATTGATCTCATGCTTTCAAGGTATTCAGTTTGATGTTGTTATATTTGAAAAGATCTTTAGAAGCACAGTAATGTTTCCTAATATGTCTATAACTCACTGTTTTTGCAATAAAAGCACTAGTTGAGTCATGACAAAAAAAATCCCACAGTGTATAATTATGTTTTAGTGATATATAGAATAAATATTCATTCCCGTAAAAAGTTAGATGTTGATTCAGTCAGTAGGGATTTTGAAGCTTTATTATTCTTGTACTTCCACCTCAAACAGTATTTATAGCTATTTGCATTACAGTTTAATTCTTATTTTTTTTCTGAGCTTCATCTTGTTTAGATGTGTTAGTCTACAGTATACAGACCTAGTAAATCAGTTTCTTAAATATATATGTATATATATATTTAGATCTTAATATAAATCTAAAAATTTTAAAAAACACTTCCTTTCAAAAACTCATTAAATAACTGACCTTTTTCATCAAAAGAAGAATAATTTGGATCAAATTTGATTCTAATTATTGTGAAAAATAAGTCTGTTATGTCTTTGCCTTACTATAACTGCTACATAAGACTACATTAGAATTGATCAGTCCTAACAAAAAAATTAAAATTACTAATGAAGACATAGTATTCATTAACATTTAGTTGGTTAAAAAAAACACAAAACAAAACAAAAATTTACAATATGCCCATAAAGATGTCAGATATATATGTATGCCTTATATGTATATTTATGAATGATAAACATTTATAAGAGCTTTAATTTCTAAAATATTGATTTTCCTTATTTTTGTCTTCTGTCATTTCAGCTTATCTGTATGCATAATTTTTAATGTAAGAAAATTTTGGTGAAGAATTTCTTTTATAAACAATGTTTGATAAGTTAATTGATTTAAAATACATTAAAAATAAAATTTTGTTCTTAAGCAATATGAATACTAACAATATACTTTTCAGATCCACTGTTACTTCAGAACCCATAATAATTTCCTGTATTTGAATGTAGCAGTCATAAATTAAAAGTGTTTTAAAGGTATACCAGGATTTTACCTAGGTCTGTTGAGAAATTAGGGATATTGTAATATGAATAACTTAAATC